TTTCGTAATGCCTTATCGAGCAGGTGGGCAAAACAAGAAAACGGAATGTATATATTTAAGAAACCAAACATTTCGCCTCTAACATTTGACATTGTATTAAGGTATGATATTTATTATTCTGTAACATTGTTCATTGCCTTCACAATTACCTTTTTATTGATCTAAATAAAAGTTATAAAATAGATATATTTATTCAGCAAAAATTAATATCGAAAAACTGAATGAAGTTGAGATTGTTAATGTCTTGGGTGCAGCCGATGAACTTTGTCTAAATATATTAGTAGATGTTTTACAAAATGTTTTGATTGATCGTAAACACATCTGGATGAACCAAAAATCTGTATTAATTTATAATGCAAGTCAAAAATATCCAACTTGTGCACTATTATCAGATATGATTGGAGAAGCTTTATTTCAGGAACCTGATTTGTTATTAAAATCAGTTGATTATGTTGATTTAGAATTTGATACGTTGGTTTGGTTACTTCAACGAGATGATCTGTCGATGAGTGAGATGGAAATCTGGAGACATGTAGTTCAATGGTGTTTGAATAAACTTGATAGAAAACTTGATACAGATCTTAAAAAATGGAATGATCAAGACTTTGATGAATTTCAAAAGGTTATAGGCCCAATATTACCTTATATTCGTTGGTGCCAAATTAAAAAAGAAGATTTTAGTAAACAAGTTGATGATTTTAAAAAGATAATACCTGATGAATTATATGAAGTAAAAGATGATACGATAGTGCCTTCACCAACTTATACGAAGTCTACAACTAGAATACCATCGGTACTCATTACTCCTAAACAAGCTGCAAAAATTGCAAGTTGGATTGATGGGTTAGATCTTAAATCCAAAGAATTTTATGATGCACGTAATATACCATATGATTTCAACCTGATTGTTAGAGGCAGTAGAGATCAAAAATTTTATCAAAACACTTTTTCACAGAATAGATGTGTTGTAATTATTAAACCATTCTCTTGTAAGTATATTTATTTAATATATTTTATTGCCTATATTTAATTATACTATAATATTTATATGGGACATGCTTGCAACAAAACCAGGCAAGGTGAACATTAGTGTTACAAAAATTTCAGGGATCAAAATTTAGTAATGTGATTATTAAAATCCTCCATTTCAGCTGGCAAAAATACAATTGATTGAGTTATTCTATTGTTACTTCTTCCTGGACTTGGTAATCCATGAACTCCTGCATCATTTTCTAGAAAATTCTTTACTATTTCTGCAACATTTTATCAATCACCATCTTAGTTTTCCATTGAGGTATCCTTTTAATATTAATGTGAATTCTTGGTAAAAGACCATTGTTTATTAATTGATTTCTAATGTTTTCAAAATAAGTTCTACCAATTCCTAACATATTGAGATAAGTTTCTTGACAAAGAAGTGTATTGTGATCCCAATGATAGAAAGTTCTTTTATTGGATCTAACATATCTGTTGAATATGCATATTTTTTTTTTAAGAAATACAAATAACAACGGATTCAATTTTATTTGTTTGGCTGTCATTGTGTTTCCAGCTTCACTAAATACAGTCAAACCTTGTCACAGCAGATGAATGAAGATTTATTTAAAA